ATCTGGGCCAGAACCACCCCACACAGACGTCCGGCCTCACCCCAGCACCCCCACACACCTGGGCACACCTGCACCGTGTCACACCTGGGCACACCTGAACCACCCCACACAGCTGTACTGCCTCACACCTGCACCACGTCACACCTGGGGCACACCCGAACCGTGTCACACCTGCACCATACCTGTCATACACCTGTCCCACACCTGTATCACACCTGTCACACACACCTGCGGCACTCACCTCGCCCACGTACTCCATGACGAAGGAGTTCTTGCGGATGCGCTGCAGCGTGCGCACGCCCTGTCACACACCTGTCACGCACACGTGGGCTGTGTCATACCTGTCACACCTGTGCTGTGTCACACACACCTGTGCTGTCACACACACCTGTGCTGTGTCACATCTGTCACACACACACCTGTGCTGTCACACACCTGTGCTGTGTCACACACACCCTGAGCCCAGGTAAGCCCACCTGAGCCCAGGTAAGCCGCACTCACGCTGTGGTTGACGAAGTGCGAGATGTTGCCGTAGTGGGCGGCGTCCACGGTGTACACGTCCTCCACGTAGTCCAGGTCGAACAGGTACGTGGCGCCCTGGCGGTCGTACACCTGTCCCCGGCGCTCCGCCTCCTCCGAGGTGATGATCTGGGACAGGGACACACCTGTCACACACCTGGGCACACCTGAACCACCCCACACACCTGGGCACACCTGCACCGTGTCACACCTGGGCACACCTGAACCACCCCACACAGCTGTACTGCCTCACACCTGCACCACGTCACACCTGGGGCACACCCGAACCGTGTCACACCTGCACCATACCTGTCATACACCTGTCCCACACCTGTATCACACCTGTCACACACACCTGCGGCACTCACCTCGCCCACGTACTCCATGACGAAGGAGTTCTTGCGGATGCGCTGCAGCTTGCGCACGCCCTGTCACACACCTGTCACACACACACCTGTGCTGTCACACACCTGTCACACACCCCTGTACTGTCACACACACCTGTATCACACCTGCAGCACTCACCTCGCCCACGTACTCCATGACGAAGGAGTTCTCGCGGATGCGCTGCAGCGTGCGCACGCCCTGTCAGACACACACCTGTACTATCACGCACACCTGTACTGTGTCATACCTGTCACACCTATGCTGTGTCACACACACCTGTGCTGTGTCACACCTGTATCACACACCTGTACTGTGTCACACACACCTGTCACACACACCTGTACTGTGTCACACCTGTCAGACACACCTGTACTGTCACACACACCTGTACTGTCACACACACCTGTATCACACCTGCGGCACTCACCTCGCCCACGTACTCCATGACGAAGGAGTTCTTGCGGATGCGCTGCAGCGTGTGCATGCCCCAGCCCTGTCACACACCTGTCACACACACCTGTACTGTCACACCTGTCAGACACACCTGTGCTGTCACACACACACCTGTGCTATCACACACCTGTCACACACACCTGTACTGTGTCACACCTGTCAGACACACCTGTACTGTCACACACACCTGTGCTGTGTCACACCTGTCACACACACACCTGTACTGTCACACACACCTGTATCACACACACCTGTGCTGTCACACACACCTGTGCTGTCACACACACCTGTATCACACCTGCAGCACTCACCTCGCCCACGTACTCCATGACGAAGGAGTTCTTGCGGATGCGCTGCAGCGTGCGCACGCCCCAGCCGCGCCCGTCGCCGGTGCGGAAGATGCACAGGTCGTAGCGGATGCCGCGCTGCACCACGCGGTTGGGGCACTCGGCGCCGCAGCGGCAGCGCGAGTTGCACTCGTAGATGGGCAGCCCCGCCCGGATGCGCACCTGCCCGGCCTCGTTGTAGGCGAACCTGTTGCGCGAGGCGCCCGGGCAGCAGCCCCCGGCCAGCGTGGCCTCGGCCAGGCAGTCCCGGCACTCGCAGCCGGCCGCCACGGGGGTCAGCGCCACGCCCGCGCCCACCTTGTACTCGTTGACGTAGACGAAGTCGCGGGGCGGCCCGTGCAGGTCCACCTCGTTCTCCACGGCGATGCGGCCGCGGTGGCTGCGCGTGGGGATCTCACGGGGTCAGGGGGTCCTGGAGTGACCCCAGTGCTCAGGGCCCTTTTGGGGTCTAATTGGGTCAGGGGGTCCTGGAGTGACCCCAGTGTGGGTCAGGGGTGCTCGGGGTGGCAAAGGAAGCTTGGGGACATCAAAGGTGACCCCAATGTCCCTGTGGGGGCTCATGAGGTCAGGATCACCAGGGGGTCCCGGGGGGGTCCTGGGCCAGTGCCTGGTGTGGAAGGGGGTCCCAGTGTGGGGGTCCCGGGCCAATTCTGGGTTTGGGAGGGTCCCAGTTTGGTGTCCAGTGTGGGGGTCTCAGGGCAGTTCTCAGTTTGGGGGTCCCAGGTGGGTTCCTGGTGTCTGGGGGGGCGTCCTGGTTTGGGGGTCCTGGTTTGGGGGTCCTGGTGACTGCGGGGGAGTCCCAGTTCAGAGGTCCCATGTCAGCTCCTGGTTCGGGGGTCCTAATTTGGGGGTCCCAGCCGGGTTCCCGGTGTCTGTGGGGGTCCCGGTTTGGGGATCCCAGTTTAGGGGTCCTGGGTTAGTTCCCAGTTTGGGGATTCCAGTGTCTGTGGGGGTCCTGCTGTCTGTGGGGTCCCATTCGGGGGTCC